AACTGTGAACATTCACAGCTAGAAAGTCCACTGATTTTTCAGAAAGTACAAAACACTATTCTTCGGCATAGTCACCACCATTAGCTATGCATCTTTGCCAGCAATGAACAAGAGCCTGCATACCATGATCATAATAAATCTCTGCACCAGGGGAGGTGAACCACTGTTGTTGCCATTACTGCCAAAATGCAATACCCACTGCTTCACTGAGCTCACATCTGTGGTTTGGTTTCCATAAGTGTTCAGCAAGCATGGATGAATATAAATGGATGCAAATTTTTCTGAATGGAGGAATATAGTTACACGTTTCGCTTCATACACACTTCCACGTCAGACATAATTTTATCAGACCACCCCTTTGCTGCCCCCTGTCGCATGGCAACAAAATGTAATAGAACATTGTCAGAAAGGTTCAACCTCTACTTCCATGCCACCAACATCCAAATCTGACATTGTGGGCCAAAATCATAAAACAGAAGGCACGACTTTTGGAGTAGCCATATAGTCATAGGAACTGACAAAATTGTGTGCTACAAAAAGCCCATAGTTAACTGCTTGCTAGTAAAGAAACTATGCTGTCAAATATTAATCAAGATTTGAATAATAAAATTCTCAGTGTAAATCTTATTTCACTATTCAGGGCAGAGTAGATCTTTTATAACAGAAAAAAAAGAAACGATTTCAACACTAAATTCAACTTCATGTTCCTGCTGTTAAAATAATCTAATTTATGAAGACAAACAGGCCAAGTTCAATACTGCAAACATAAATTCCCTATTCTTTGTAGTGAACTCAAGAAAATTTTAAGTTGATGCAAAATGCATCCATTAGAAAAAAAAACAAACAAGTGAATATTAATTTTTTAACAGAACATAATTAATTACTTGGAGCACTCATTTCATGGCAGCTGTGAAGTTTCTAACATTGCATGGAACCTCACAGTTTTCAAAAAAGCTAGCAGAGCTAGACATTGTTTAAAAAAGTAGTTCAGTTAGCTGCGGCACTGACAGTGGGAATCTAAAATAAATTTTTTTTTCACATACCCAATGCAGCTGTCAGGCTATCTACAAAAGGAAATAACAATTTATGCTTTACTCTGAAACCAAAAATTCTTAGTGAGGGAACAGAAGTAATCCTGAGGTAATGACAAATGTTAATCTAGAAACTCCGTTGTGATTTAATATCGTAAGTGTATATATGAAAGAGATTCCATGTTTAGTCTAATATATGTCTGCATTTTCCTTTATTTTCCTTTTGAATCACTTAATGCCAAGAACTTTATATGCTGCTCTAGCAACCAGTTCTCATCTGTGGTGTTCACATATTTCCATATTTCCAACACACAAGACTTGTATATTTCAATAAATGAAAAATAAAAAAAGCAACAATAGTAAATATAACTAATTTCATTCACATTTGCCATATTAATATAGACAAATGCCTTTCTGCAATTTAAAAAGTAGATGAGAATACAAACAGAATGCTCGAAATACCACCTTCTGTTAACAATTAAAGCAATTCAGCATGTCTTTCATTTAAAAAGCAGCAACAAATACGTGTATGTATGCATGCACACAAATAAAATTGGAAATTATTGATTTCCAGCCTCCTCTCAGGAAGTTTCTAATCCTTATTGTTCCATTCCTGCTGACAGTGCCATAAAACATGAAGACTGCATTTCTTAAAAAAATTATCAATTAAATATGGACTTCCTCTGGTATATAAGTATAATAAGCTAAAATTCTACTTCATGAGCAAACAAAATAAAGAACTAAAATCTGAAGGAACTCAAATATGACACATCGATGTTCTTTTGTTGCTATGGATACTCATCTGTGAATGAAGCTACATTGTAATTGTGATTTAATAAACTAATTGGATCCAAACTAATTTAATTGGAATGTAATAAATTAATCAGAGTCTTTCCTAAAATATGAAAAGAAAGTTAATTTTCCAAGAGTTTTCCAAAATGGATATGTTAAATTTATATAACAAAAATAATTTTGCATCAATAATTCTATATGCTTATATGCACATACAAATTGAGTTTTGTTGGATGTAAGAGGTCCTTAACTATTTTTTACGAAAGCTAAATCCTGAAAGATGCAACAAAAACATCTTCTACTCACTAAACTTGGAAGGGATTTCTGGAGATCTTCAGTAGCCTACAAAGAAAAGCATTCGGGTATGTTTTAAATTTCCAAAAAGAAGAAGAAAAGATTCTACAGGTACCTCAATCAGAAAAGGAAAGTCCAGAAGAAGGGTGAGGTACTTAAATTTTTTGTCTCTGTTTTTCCTGATAACCACACACCACACAGCCCTCGAATGTTTGGTCTGCTAAGAGGAGACTGTAGAAGCACTGCCCCTCCCACTGTAAGTGAAGATCAGATTCATGACTACCTGAGGAACCTGTACATTTACAAGTCATGGGTCCTGCTGAGATGCATCTCAGACTCCTAAGGGAATTGGCTTATGTGGCTGCTAAGCCATTCCCCATAATATTTGAAAAGTCATGGCAATCAGGTGAAACCCCTGGTGACTGGAAAAAAAGGAAACATCACACCCATTTTTAAAAAGGGTAAAAAAGATGATTCTGGGAACAACCGATCTGTCAGTCTCACCTCTGTGTAGGGAAAGATCATGGGGCAGATCCTCCTGGAAGCTATACTAAGGTGCACGGAAGCCAGGGAGGTGATACAGAAAAGTCACCATGGCTTTACCAAGGTCAAATCCTGTTTGACCAACCTAGTGGCCATTTATGATAGTGTCACTGCATCAACGGACAAAGAAGAGCCACTGATGTCATCTGGACTTCAGTAAGGCTTTTGACACAGTACCCCACATTTTTCTCTCCAAACTGGAAAGATATGGATTTGTTGGGTGGACTGTTCAACAAACAAAGAACAGGCTGCAGGATCGAGTCCAGAGAGTGGTGATCACTGGCTCCATGTCTGGACGTAGACTGTTGAGAAGTGGTGTCCCCCAGGGGTTGGTGCTGAAGATATCTTTAATATCTTCATCAATGACAACAACAGTGGGGTTGAGTACACCCTCAGTAAGTTTTTTGTTGACACCAAGCTGTGGGGTGCAGTTGAAACACCAGAGGGACAGGATGCTATTCAGAGGGACCTAGACAGACTTGAGCAGTGGGACCAGGTGTATCGCATGAGGTTCAACAAATACAAGTGCAAGGTCTTGCACTTGGGTTGAGGCTATCCCCCCTTGCCAATATAAACTGGGGGATAAAGGGATTGAGATCAGCTCTACCAAAAAGGACCTGCAGGTAATGATGGATGCTGAACTAGATGCAAACCAGCAGTGTGCCCTTGCAGCACAAAATCCAAGTATATTCCGGGCTGCATCAAAAGAAGCAGGGCCAGTAGTTAGAGGGAGGTTGTCATGCCCGTCTGCTCTGCACCAATGAGGTCTCATCTGTGTCCTGATGAGGAGTCCTCAGTACAGGAGAGACATAGATCTGTTGGAGCACATCCAGAGAAGGGCCACAAACCACAGAATTGAATACCTCTCCTAGGAGGATAGGCTGAGAGAGCTGGGGCTGTTCAGCACAGAGAAGGCAGCGAGATGACCCGATAGCAGGCTTTCGGTATCTAAAGGGGACCTACAGGAAAGAAAGGGACAGACCATTTAGAAGGGTTTTTGGTGGTAGAACAAGGGGAAATGGCTTCAATCTCAGTGAGACTAGATTTAGGTTAGATATAAGGAAAAACTTTTACTGTGAAGGTGGTGAGGCACTGGAACAGGTTACCTAGTGTTGTGGTTGATGTCCCATCCCTGGAGACTTTCAAGGCGAGGCTGGATCAGGCCCTGGGCAACCTGATCTAGCTGTGGTAACCCTGTCTGTTGCAGGGGAGTTGAACCAGATATTTGTATAGTCAATGAATGTACAGATGTTATAGTTATGAAGTATACCAGAGAGCTTGGCTACGTAGTTATTACACAACAGCAGAAAGGATAGGATGCTTATTCTTATCCTGGGCTCACTTATGAAACTGCAGCAGAGTTGATCTCCACTCCCCACTGGTAGTCATCTCTTAAATGGGTCTAGGAGAGGTAGAGCCAGGCTCCACTCCTTCCGGCAGCACAGATGAATTGCCTTCACCTGTGCTCCTGTGGCTGACTCATTGCTTGCCTCAGGTGATCAATTAGAGGTTTAGGCCATGATTCAGCACTTCCCATACAACAGCCCTCAGAGGTTCCTTCCAACTCTCAGGATTCTATGATCTCACAAGCTCCCCTCTGCCCTCAGGCCTGCTTCCCCAGACTGTCTCTGTTGGACTGGTGTGCTAGAGCTATTGAAAGGTTATCTGGTGGAAGAATGAACAAGAGTGGATGAGGATATGTCAGGGATTACTGGAGAGTGAGACATGATGGGTTCACCAAAATGTACTGAGAGAGCTGGATGGTGTCCTCCAAAGCCACTCTCTGTCAACTTTGAAAGATGATGGAGAACAGAGAGGTCCTTGACAGTTGCATAAAAGCAACTGTGATAAATAGCTGCAAATAAAGTCAAAAATGAGCACTCGATCTGTGAAGAGAGGCTGAAGGAACAGCGTTTGATCATTCTGGTGAAGAGATGGCTTCAGTGGGATTTAATAGCAGTGCCCCAGTACTTACGAGGGGATTATCAAAAAGACAAAGCCAGAGTCTTCACAGTGGTGCAAACTGGGAGAACAACAGAAAATAATCATATACTGGAGCAACAAATGTTCTGTCTGGGCACTGTCAGAACCCAGAACATTTTTAACCATGAGTAGAATCTACTAGTGGGTCAGACTGCCCATTTGAGCAGCAATTGGACCTGAGGTATCTTCCAACTTGAATTATCCTTCAGTTCTGTTGTGAAAGCAATTTCAAACTAACATGGATATTTGCTTCTTATTTTTGTAAAGCCTAAGTATAATTTTATTCTTAGTTAAAAGGAAGCAGAAGCCTCAGCTTTGTTTCTTATTCCACATGATAAATATGTATTGCTAACATACCTGGTTCAGACTTTCCAGTTTAGACTGTTTTAGTTCTTCATATTTCAACTTCCAAAGAGCTAATTCATTTTCTGTCTTTTCCACTTCTTTTTCCAGAAATACATTCATTCTGAAAGGGTTTTAAAAATCAGCATTACTTTTTGTTTTGAGGATGAAAAAATATAAATGACATTTAACTTCTGTCCAAAGCTTCAGTTATATTTTACAGCCTTTTTCAACTGCATATTTTTAAATTATTTTAAACATATACTATGACCACATAATTATTTTAAGAGATTTGTAAAAAATAATGGCTGAAGAGAACAGACAATTCCAGTACGGAATTCAAATTCTTGCCCTAAACTTAATAAAATTTGGAAATGAACGTCAATTGGTGATTTTGGTCACGTAGTATATGGTAAGATAGCAAAGATCCACAGAGGATTGAGATTGGTTCACTTCATTTGAGTACAAGGAAAAGATTAAGTACATGTATATGGGAATATATACATACAGTACGTGCAGAGCACTGAAAAAAAGAGGATTCTTGAAAGAACGAGAAAAACATTTTGGAAATGTGGATTATTTATCTCAGAGATACTACATCCTCACTAAAATGACAACTCTAAGGATTCTGCTCTGGAATGTTATTTGAGTAAAATGTTCATTACTATATTCTGGAAAACGGTCAGAAAAAATAGTTCACAAAGAAGGAATGATGGCTCCTACTGAAATACTGAAGTTTGGTTTTAGCTTTTACCTCTTTTCAAAACACAGTATTATCAGCAATTAAGGATATAATGAAAGAAATATGAAGCTCTACAGATGTTCCTGTCTTTGAGACCCATTAAAAGTTTCATTTTTGTGACCACAGCAAAGACTGCAGCCAAAGTCCAAGATTTTCATAATTTATATCCTTGACTTCATAATTTCATTTCGTATTTGTGAAATATGTGTATATGATTTTGCAATAGTCTAACGAAATAGAATTTGGCTCACAAGAAAAAATGAAAGAAAAAAATTACTCTAAATTACAAGTAAAAACTTTCGGTTTATATTGGTACAATTTTTTAATAAAAAATTGTACTTGTTTATAATCCCTGATTATTCAACTGGCTATAAACATCAGTATAGGAATAAAGCATGTAAAGTCAGGAACCTGAATAAATCTGAAGTCTGAAAAGCAGTAAATCTGCAGATGGATCATTATGTTGGCAGATGACAATTTTTTTTTTTATAAGTTTTATGATACTGCAGGGATGAAACATGAATATACCAGAAAAGATAAAAATATTGAAAATGTACACTTGAAAATTCAACTAGCAACATAAGATACTGTTGTATGTCATAGTAGTTATTTTCTCTTTTGGGACAAAAATAATTTGTTAACCTTTTGACAAAAAGTATTATTTCTGCATTAACTTTAGCTACATTCTGAGAATATTTGATTTAAAATCTTTCTGCCACAGCATAAGGAAATCAGCAAAAGAATATGTGACAAGGCTTGCCTCTGGGACATACTCACATAGTACTCGGTGGGCTTGTGCAGAGACACCAGAGTTATCACTGAGTGGTCTGGCTCAAGGCCTGGAAGCAATGTTAGCTGGATCATTGAAGCAATGTACTTGTGTGAAAAGTGTCTTCCTGTTGCCTCTTTGTTTACAACTAAACTGAATACTCTTGATCCAAAAACACTTAAATCACTTATGGAGAGGTTAGCCGTTTAAGTAGGGGCATGTCCAAACACTATCTCTACATGTGCTGGTTTCAGTTTGGAAAAAATCTAGCCACAGCTCTTGAGTAATGAAAGTAAGCCAGAAAGATCTACTGAGAGGTCCTGCACAGAATGAGCAAGATCGTACTGGCTGCCAAAGTAACCTTTGGCCTAGGGATTCAAGTTGTCTGTAACCCAAGTTTACTTTTGATGTAGCACAGCTGTGTCCTTGGCTGAAGTTTACTGAGAAAATTTCTAAATTGTCAGGAAGAAGCTGTGAGAAAGTACTTAAGCTAGAGCTATGCAAACAGATGAGATTGTTGAGATAGTGATTATTAGCAGATCCAGAATCCAGGAGCAAAAATACTGATGTGAACAAACATAAAACTCAAAGAGAAAAAATGGGAATCTGAAGATGTCAAGTCATCTAAATAAGCCTAGTCCTGTGAGAAGCAGACACTAAGCCTGCCTGAACTGGTGGATGATAGTCTGCCCAACAAAGACTCACAGGGAGACTCAAGAGACCAGTGATTACGTTAGTTTTTGTCTGGTAATACTGTTCATACGTATCTATTTTGTGCATAGCCAAACATAATTGCTTCATATGTCTCAGCTGAATATATTTTGCTTACAGAAGCTCTTTTATAGAGGAAATGTTGAACAAAGAGCTAAAGAAGTTGTACACAAATGCTTAACATTATGTGAAAATTGCTGCTCCATGAGCAGTTACTGCCTGAGGTTGGAACTGCTGTAGGTTGCATGATACAAACATACACCAGTTTTTATCATGCCCCAGTAAATTTATTAATATACACCATAATGAAGAACAGTCAGTATATACCTAGGGATAAGTATCAAAATCTGGCATCCTGAAACACAGTTACTAACTAGCTTGAAAGGCACATGAACAAACACAGAGCAGAAGGTAATACAGGGATTTATTAAATTTTCATCAAATAAGAGATTTGCTTTAAAAATGTTGAATGATTATCTCCTTTTTAAAAGGAAATTTCTGCATACTATGATCTCTGTTGAACAAGTAAGATACATAGAACCCTAAGGATTTCAACCAGAGAAGAGGAGATATGAGTTATCAGCCTCTTAAGTCTCATGAAATATCAAAAATTTAAAAATTTTTGGATTTTGGCTTCAACAAAAATTGGAATCTTTTTAAGTAAGATAGAACGCAGTTTCAGTAATCTGCTGCAATATTATTCAAAAAAAGAATGGATGTTTTCTACAGCTTACTGCTTCAGGTAACAACATAGTAAATGTGTTCTAAGAATTTAAAATAAATGTTGTTTTTTTTTTTAAATTTTAATATACTTCAGACTTGAATTATCCACAGGAAAATTGTAAAAAGAAAGTGACAGGAAAGATTTGTCACAGTCTATTACATACTCTTTGAACTGAAACTTGACAGTATTTGCAAGAGAAGAGACATTCTTTACTCCTTCTGAGTAGCTTTAACCAGTTTTGAAGCTACAGTCGCATTAAACTGAAGTCTACTGCCTCACACATTGCACATATAGCATATACCACGTGTTTCCTTGCAAAGCAATTTTGGTGTAATTCAAAAATGGCCTTCATTATTATACAGTCACCATTTACTAACAAAAATTTGAAAGAGCCTATGAAAATTTCTTATAATACTACGGTGCTCCAATAATTTAATATAACATAGCTTAGATGTCACTTAATTTGTATCAAATCTCTGGTAAGTACAAATTTTTTAGTTAACTGTATATTCTTAACAGTTTTATTACAGAGTACTTTTTCATGCTAATGATAAACAAGCCAAAGGAAACGAGACGTACACACTGCTGTGAAACCCTTACAATATATGTAATTACCAATTTCCAAAACCATTAAAAAATACATATTTTCTGACTTAGAGCTTAGAAATACCTAGGAGAACATATGAGCTATAAATGCAAAACTTCACTATATTTACATTAGAAAGTTTCTTTAAAAAACTTATTTCTAATGAAGACTTCTCCAAGGAGGATATATTTTATACTTACTCTCTTTCTTTAGTTAAGATTTTCTGTAACTCAGCCAAATGCAAATGCAGAACAGAAGCACGCTTTAAATCATTCTCTGGTGTCTGAGCTGCGTTGTGCAGACCTTTTTTAGGTTCCTCAAAATAAATACTGGTAAATCCACTGGAAAAGGAATCAAGATGCTTTGGAGCCATTTTTTTATTCTGACTGCTTCTTAGGGGCTGTTTGATTAACTCCACATCCTGAGAAAAGAGATAAACATGGTATTTGAGAAAAACATAAATAAAGCAAAAGTCTAAATATGACATCTGCCTGCTACCAAGGCTCTTGTAAACATTTAAACCATGTAGGGGGAAAAAAAGGAATAAATAATATCTTGTATAACTGCAATGAGTTACAGTTAGAATGTTCTCTAATGCAAAAATGTCATTCTGACGGAGTGATCGCTGCTTTGTGGTATCTCACACTGTGAACATGTGAGAGTTTTCATAACCAAAATATTTCTAAGGTTTCTCTACTAAACAAATAGGTTCCAGTTGTCACTAGTTGGCTATAACTATGGTCAAGACAGAATCTTGGAATTATTAAAACCAGGAAAGCAACTTATATGTACAGATACAACATTGAGAAATTCCACGTAAGAAGTCTTAGAGTTCTAATGTTAGTCATGTTGAAACAAATGATGGACTTTTAACAAGTTTTGTGCAAGGACCAGTTATGTGCATAACATACTAGTTGGGTCCCAACCAGAAACAAAATGTGCTATATTGTCTATTTTGAGGAGACAGAGTTTGCATGCAAAACGTAAGCAAGATTAAAAATATTTAGAAAAAAAATTATTCAAAAATACATCTGTATTAGGAATTCTTTTGAGATTTTAATTGCTGTGTTTGCCAAATGAAAAACTTGCCACATTGCGGAAGAATTCACCTCACCTCTTTCCTCATTTCAGAAACTGCAAGTAGTGAGAACTAAATTGTATTTTAGATATCAGAAACCTACACTACTTTTTGAGATAGTAGTATGCAAAACATGGAGATTTCAGATATAACCTTATAACTTCTAACGTGAAAGATAGTCAGAGCATTACATTACTGGAGACAACAGCCTTTTACTTATAGGTTTAGCCATAGCCAAGGAATCTGAATTGTTTTCTGTATTTCTCTGTATTAGGATTATAACATGGGTGAAAATCAAAATAATTGCTTTTATAATATATCAGATCACATTATATTTTAGAAAAAAATCCTTGAAAAATCTCATTTCTAAATACATAACTCCTCCTTTTTCATGAAGTTAAAAGAAATCCCCATTCTTTACCTTGTTTGAGTCTTCTGCCCAAGGAATTGTGTTGGTTTTGTTTAGTTCTTCCGCATGTTCTTGTTCCAAAAATGTTAATTGGTTTAGGTCTTTTTTTATATGCGATATTTCTGAGGAACTGAAATATTCTGTTTTCCAAGTAGTTACATTTTCTAAACTTTCTTTTTCAGTTACTAAATCCTGGTTTATCTTTTTAAGCATACTCAGTTCTTTTACAACACTGTCCAATTTTATTCTCAATTGTCTGGCTTCTTCTCGGGCTTTATTTCTTTCTGCTCTAACTTTGCTCCATTTCTCCCTCCAATTAGCAGTACAGTCTGACCACCAGCGCATAGTTTTCTCCATTTGGGCAGCTCTGGCTTTGACTTCTTCTAGTTCTCGAATTCTTACTGCTTCAAAAATTTCCAAGTCACTGCTGGAATTCATATGCATGTGTGTATAATGAGCTGAATATGGGTAGAAATTTTGAGATGGAAGATTTGAATTACACAGATTGCCATCTGTTTGGCAAATTCCATCTAACTTATTAGGCTGTCTTGGTTGGGTCCTAAAAATCTGTATATCTTCCATTGAATGCTGAACATATCCTACGTCCACGTTTTGATTCATAATCTGCTATCACCCCTAAAAAAGACAAAGAATAATTTAGCTTCCTTCAATAAAATTATGAATAAATTTATATTCAATTAAATAATCTCAAGCAACAGTTTATATTACTCTTAAAATAATGATATATCTATCTTATTAATAATAGTGTTTGACATTTTAAAAGTGAGTACAGCACAGACAGGTATATTTGTTACTTGACTAGGTATTGATAACAAAGGAAATATCATTCATTTGCCTTCTTTCTCAAACGATGGAACCTCATGTTAGGCAAAATGGTAAGTCAAATTTACCTATATAAATGAACAAAATGCAAATTCACGTTTGATTTTTTTCTTTTCACAAGAGAAGAAATTCAAGCATTTTCACAGTGGGTTTTATCATCTACATTCCACAAAATACCCAGAAATTATATATATTCTTGTTATTCTTGAAAAGATAACGCTATCCTATTATATAGCATATTACCTACATAGCGATGATACGACTGCTACTAAATGCTGCTGCACCCTTTTTCATTATTTATCCATTATTATTCACTCACTTAGATAAAAGTCAGCACCTCAAGAATTGCATTCTCACTCCAATATTTAGGAAATTGTGATACGGAGAATCTGTCATCACTTATATTTGCTTTTCATTTTTCCCTTGGCTATCAAAACATAACCTAACAAAACAAAACAAAATCTTGCTATTCCAACAGAAGACTAAGTTGATAAAATTACTTTTTTTTCTGAATGTTCCAATATCTCTCTTTAAAAAACCATGTTTATATATCATAATGATTAGGGTTACCGCCTGCATTTGAAATGTAGAAAGCCAATACAGTAAACAAAACACTGAAGAGTAGATAGTTATGGCATTATTTATGCTTCATTTCAACTGAATAAAAGTTTTCACACTTTCTGCTTCCAGTTTCTCAGTTTTTAACTGCTGCCTTTCAGCAGTTTTTCATCCTCGATTGCTGATTCTGACTCTGCACCTAAGCTTCCAAAAAATTAAATGTAATTTAATTAATTAAAATTTAAAGTAATTATTCTCTTTCGAGAAAATATTAGTGCTGACTTAGAGGTGGTAAGGAATAGAAGATGTTCACACATGTCTTAACTTCCCTATGTGCTTTTCATTTAACATAATCAAGTTACATGGAACTTTAACACTGTAGGACGTAGGACAGTGTTTTAGCTATATAAAGATGAGGAATACATAAAACACTTCCCCAAATAAAAGATTCTTAGCAGATAGCTAAGACCAATTTGTGAATTTGTTTATGAAGCCAAAAAAGATTAACCTAAATAAATAAAACAGTGAGAAACCTAGAAAATCTGACAGCATTTATTAACTCTTTATTAGTTGATATCTAAACTTTTAGAATGCAGCTTAGGCACAGAAAACTTCTTTGTTCATCATTTCTTAGAGATAGTAGGGTTGATGTTGCAGATAGACACTTGCTTCATCAAACTACTACTGATGTCACTTAACACACATTATACTTCTCCAGGGTTCTGCCTGCTCCAAAAACTTATCTTGGGTGAAAAGAGAATATTTCTTATGTAGAACATCGACAAAGAAGATTCATATTATTATTGTTGCAGAGACCTCTAAACATAAGAAATAAGTCAACACTGAAAACTGAGAGGAGAAAAAAAGCAGCTATCCAGAGCAAGTTTGAAAGTTACCAGTTTGAGTTTGTAGCAGCAGACTAGCTAGCTCAGCATGTGGAACTCAATGAGCATAATTTACTTAACAGAAGTAGATGTAAAGATAAAAGAAAGTTAGAAAAGTAAAAGAAAGTGGGGATTTTCTTTCCAGTGAAACCTTCTGGTAGTTCCACCTGTTTAATAATTCGGGGACAAGAAGTAACACAGAATCCCTCTTAAAGTAATCTTCCTTAATTGAATAATCTAAAGTACGCCCAAAGAAAAGGAAGCAACATTCATAGCATTGTTTGAGAGGGGTGAAGGTATCATAAAAGAGATCTGATTGACATAAGAAAGAAAAAGTTACAGACGTTTGGCAAACAAAACAAGGAATATGCTCTAAACCATATTTCATTGTATTGCAACTTTGCTTATTTACTTAATGTTCATAAACAATGGCAGTTAAGAAGAATAGCTCTTGGTTTATTGTTCCAAGATATTATTATGGGCAAAGGGAAATGTTTTAACTCCTCATGACACACAAGAAAAAAACCACTGGAACTCAAAACAGTTATTACACTTCACTTGTGTTAATACCTGCTCACTGAACTGAAGTTTTCCATGAGTTCAGCTGCTAGACCATCAACTTGATACTGTGTTAGCACCCTTTTTCTAATTGCATGACTTAATCTTTAGTTACATGCCACTTAATTATGAAAACCTCAACCAAACATTTCTTAAAAGGCATTCACATCTTTACAGAAAATATCTGCTTCAGAAGAAACCAGTTAATTTTCTTTTGCATAAGCTGTAAACGCAATAGAAAAAAAGTCCAAATTGCTTATCTTCTTGGCTTACTCCAGGAGATGCAAAACTGTTTGGACTTATATAAAATACATATATCAGTTCTATGGGGAAAGAATAAACTTTTGTAAAAAGTCTGTCATAGCTGGAATTGCATTGCTGTTTGTTTCCCTTGACATCTGGGTGGTTTGAGTTAGCTCGTTTTAAAAATGATTCTAACTGGAATACTGCCACCATAGGACAGAAAACCCTTGTGCAGCTGTGTGCTTTGTATGGACATCAACAGGTAACAAATAGTGGGGATAAATAATGAGAACATGGCATAGGTTAGAATATCAATTGAATCCTCTCATCTGCTCTTCTCTGCTGGCGGAAGTGTGGGTCGCAGATGGGAGTGCACAGTGAGTGGGAAATTAGTGAGAGGTAAAGTTGCAGCCATACTCGTACAGACCATAGAGAAGCCTACACGGCAGGAGCTGGTGGCTCAGCCCAGCTGGCAAAGCAGAGCTTAGAGGTATGGAAATGACTTTGAAGCACTGAGCTATTAATGCCTATGCAGACTTATACTCCGTGTGGGATTCTTTAATCCTGTGGCCGAGAATGGGGTGGAAAAAATTAACAAGTAAACAACAGAGATGTCTGGGTATGAATACAGACCAAAAATTTATTGATGATGTAATTTAATCTAAGAATGTGTACCTACTCACAAAAACACTACAAAACTTGAGGCAAAGGGAAGCAAGGCAGCTGGTCATTCTGCATAAAATCTTAAGACAGAACAGGGAAATCGTTACAGGAATGACTAGGGCACAGAGGGACAGATGATTTATATCAACAGGATGCATAGAGATGTACAGTGGCATCCTCTGACAAAACAGATCCTATTCAAAACGGACTATTCTATTCACAACTTCCATATTGCCACACCTATCCAAGTTGACCACCACCTCAAAATTGGCCTTAAATATTTGGGTGTACGTAACTTCACACCTGAGATCCTGCTGAGCACACAGCTCATGCTAGCACCTGGGACCAGAGCCATCTGGGTAAGCATAACACATACAGATGGCACAGCACACAGGGAAGTAAGGGCCACTCTGCAGCTATCTTTTCCTGCAGCTATTCTCTCTTGTATCTTTGTAAAGGCACTGCCCCAAACTTACTGATACAGTATAGTTTGAATTCCAACCTGAAAAGTACAAATAGGTCAACATACTCAAAAAGCTTTGGAATCACAACTGTATTGCTGAGGATTTTGAGCTTCTTGCAACACCCAAACTGTAGCAGCAGCAGAAGACTGAGCCCTGACAACATTGTATCAGAAAGTATTTTGCTCATAGGTGGAAATTCACTGGAAAATCGACAACTTTTTAGCTACAGAATTCATGAAGTAATGAATTTGTGTACTGATATGTTAGACTGTATAGTCTGTATGAAGAGGATTGAGTTTTTGTTTGATGCTTCTTTGGTTTTGGTTAGGTGTTTGTGTGTTGGTTTTTTGTTTCTTTGTTTTTTTTTTGTTTTTTTTTTAATAGGTTATGAGCAAATAAATAAGTGCATTTCACAGGATATATTTGTCCTTTAAATATGAGAGATTTCAGTGGACAGTGACACCATACATTCACATATTTCCACAATCTGGGTTTGATCATGGTCTCTCTGAGCAAGTTAAGAAAATTGTTATTTTAATACTGAAAATTAAAAAGGTGGTGATTTCAATACTTTTGAATGCATAGCCAAGGATTGTTGTATTTTTTTTTTCATAGCTATAAAATATACCATATAGTTTAAAATTATTATATTTTCAAGCAGTTGATGTTGTATCCAAACATTATATTCCTAACATGTGTCAAAGCTAAAAATCAGCCAAAAAATGTCCTGAAATAAAGACACAAGCAATGCAAATTATTTCCTGTCATAAATTATCTGATTTTTTTTCCTGTTTACACTTATGTAGCCACATTTTAAATATAAAATATTTGATGCAACTCTCATTTACTTAAAAATTCCCATAGCTACTACTCATTTTTGTTAACTAAAAACAATTAAGCTGCAAAAATCATATAAAGTTACGTTTCTAATTTCATGAAGAGAAATGTCTTAATGGTTTTGCTGCTTTTCATTTCTTTTTCCCTTTTATTTGATTATGAAATCTGTGAGCCGTATGAATAAAAGGTTTTTCCTCACTGCATCACTTCAGAAATTCAAATTTGTTAAGTATGTTTTCAGAATCAAATTAAAATCACAACCACAATTCATTCATGTTCTGACACGCAAAATAAAGTCTATGCAGTTTCACCTTTCTTCTACTACCAAGGATCAGTCTCAGCTTTTGAAGTGTAAAGACAATGTAAGATCAAAAAATTAACTGCAAGATTTCTAAAGTTGATAATTAAATCCCAGAGCTTTGTTTGATAAAAGATAAACACAAAATACTTGGCCTGTCTGCAAAGAAGGAATAAAGACAGAATTGCTGAGCGAAATCTTGCACGCTTCCTAGGCCTGGCAAAACAAAAAGTTTTGGGAAAACTGAGTATCACTTTTGTGCTCATATTTCCTTACGGTATAAAAATC